GCAGTGTACCTCGATTTTGCCAAGGCATTTGTTAGTGTTCCGCATGAGCGACTGTTACGTAAAGTGAATATTTGGGGATAGAGGGAAATGTACTCCAATAGATCAGGAATTTCCTAGTAGGCAGAAGACAACGTGTCAGCATAAACGGAACCGTATCAGACTGGGCAAATGTGCGCAGTGGCGTACCGCAAGTAAGCGTTCTTGGGCCTGTTTTGTTTTCACCTTTATAAACGATCTACCAGAAGTAGTGTCAAGCGTGTGCTCCATGTATGCCGATCACACCAAAGTTTATAATACAGTAAGGACGCGTCAAATAAAATGCAACTTCAAAATTATCTTGATAGTTTGGTTGACTGGGCTGATGCGTGGCAGCTGCGTTTCAATGCTGACAAGTGTAAAGTACATCACCTCGGCAAAAACAATGAACAGCAAGCTTACAGCATGAGAAGACACGGTTGCAACGAGAGGATTACGATTGAGAAGTCTTGCGTGTAAAAATATCTTGGAGTTTGTGTCGACAAGGAGCTAAAATTTTCTAGGCATACTGAAACGCAAGTTAATAAATCCAATAAACTGCTTGGGCTGATCAGACGCTCCTGCAAGTACCTAGTTGCAGAAATTATGAAGTTGTTATTCACCTCTGTCGTGTGCCCGAACCTAGAGTTTGGAAACGTTGGGTGGTCACCGAGACTTAAAAAGGACAAAAATTTAGTAGAGAGTGTTCAAAGACGTGAAACAAGGATAATTCCTGGCTTAAAGGGCAAGTCTTACGAAGAAAGATTGCAGGTTATGAAGCTTCCCAGTCTCCGTTATCATCGCCTGCGTGGTGACCTCATTGAAGTATACAAGTATACTGTATACTCATGGTTTGTACAAGGTCCCAGAAGGATTACTAGAATTTGAAACAAGAATCAACACCAAGGGCCACATCTACAAACTAAAAAAACCGCGGTTCAACTCATCCATGCGACAACACTTCTTCTCGCTTCGAGTCACCTACATGTGGAACAGCCTCCCTGGAGATATTGTTGACGCTCCGATTATGAACGCGTTCAAGAACAGACTAGACAAGGCCATGCAGGAGCATATGTATAGTCTTGAAATACCTCGTATCCTACGGAACAACTAAAATCTAGAAACGATTTCAAATCTACAGTCCGTTGAAAAGATTTGATCAAAAGGCCAGTCTTGTCCAGAAAAATACAAGAATCGGCGACAGGCCTATCCAGGCCTTTCTTCAATGCCGAAGATACTATACTATACTACTGTATACTATACTAATACTTCAACGGCTACTGTATCTTGAGCTATCGAATATACCGCCATCAACAAATTTTAATAACTTGTCACTTATTAAAAAATTTGCTCATATGACCACTCAACTTTTATTTGTCATTACAGAAGGCGTACTACTTTTCGATTCGAGCGTTCGTCGGCATCACGATACTGGTGGCGGTGGGCTACATTGTGACCGCATCCATTTTAGTCTCTGAGTATTATGCTGGCCCGCCTATTTTCCTCTATTGCATATCAGTTTGGCTTTTCATCATGACTGGGATTGTGGCCAAGTATGGACAGTTGATGGTGAGTTTATCATGACACACCATGCACCAGACAACCGTGCCTTTGTATGGAAATTGTAAATAATGTTCATTATTTAAAAAAACACGCTACAAATGAGATAAAATAATCTATGAATGGTTTTAAAAATTTTACATATATACATACATTAATAGGAACATGCACTGCACTAAACGATTAACAAGTTAAACAAACTATGTTTCAGTTTTCAGTAATGCTTCTCACACTAAAGCTTCAAAATTATCTCCAGATTGCCGTTCCAAGAGCGGCTGACCCCGCCTTCGTTATAATGACGAACTCAGCGCCGACTTCTCAGATCCACGTTCATCCACAACAACAAACAAACATTATCAACCAGGCCCACACCACGAACTACACACCACCTGCTCAACCTGGCGGCTACAACAACCAAGCTGCCTTCCCGCCTGGTTCTGGTGGTGCATATCCTCCACCCAGCACTATTGCATATCCTCCGACCAGTCCAAGTGCATATCCTACAACCAATCAGAACGCATATCCTCAACCCACCCTCACTGGATATCCTTATCCAAATGCTAATATGTATCCCCCTCCAAACTTTGGTGGATATCCCCCTCAAAACCCTGCTGCATATCCTCAAAACGCTATCCCGTATCCTGCTGCCCCATATCCAAGTGGCTATCCTGCCACCAGTTCCAGCCCGTACCCACCAGCGGGGCTAAGCCCTGCCGCTCCTGCCCTGCAGACCTACAACGGTGCCTGGGGCCCGCCAGCCAGCGCTCCTGCCATGTGAAAGACACCTTCATCCTGAGACGATGGAGCCGAGCTATTTATTTCCGTTGTAATTGTTATGAATTTAATACAGTTACTGTAGCAAATGGCAGCCTGGCTCCAATCGTTCATTAGCGCTGCAATGTCTATGATAGATTATAAAAGCAATGTTTGCATTTAATTTGCGTTTTCTTAATTTGCTACAATATATCTTCTTAGGTTTGCATGATTCATTGTCGTAATTGTTTTTTTTTTCTATTTACAATCGCATTGATTAGTGAAATTCCCAATTATATATTAAAAATAGTTTTTGGACCAGAAAATCTTTAATATTTGAGAACGTTATAGTTGTAAATATAGCACTAATACTTTTTTAAAAAGAAAATAATGTGCCTGTAGTTAAATAAATAAAATCGATCAATGCAATCGACCAATTTCTTTGCCCTTGTTGGGAACAATATTATTTGGACATTTCGAAACCCAAACTATATTTCATTCCAGCCATTATTTGAACGCTTTGATTTTACCCTTGATGATGACAGAGGCAACATCCTGCATCATATTGTAAAAAAACGTTAAATCAAGCGATGCAAAGATTACCTATTAGGAGCCTCGTCCACCAAGATCTATTTCAATTCAAATTTAGGGACTGTATTCTATCAAAAAGTTTTCCTTAATCCTAATTCAGTGTACGAAACCCATCACGACACAGGGACAAACAATGATAATCGGAGCATCCCTTGGACACAAAGCCCAGTTCTTCGGCGTCTAGAGCTATACGACCATTCAGATGGGGACCGCAGCCGTGCACCACCAATTTTGTGCACCAATAAGCCTTGAATCGAACGCCTTGGATCTCTTCGGACATCCACCAATCAGCCGTGAACCACTCAGCTTTGTCCTCCTCCGGCCTTGCATAAAACCTGCCCGTGCACCTCCAGGCCGCGGATCGAATATGACTTCCGGGCATCGTTAAATTACGTATCTGAGGTTAGGTTTCAGATAGCATAGTTCTGTTCCAAAATTTATCGTCATCTGACGAGTGTCCACTCGACCGAGGGCTGGTTCGACGCACGGCCTAGATATGATTGTCCAAAAGTGTTGACGGCTACGTTCCGGAAGGCAGGAATCATGATGGTCCATTACATCCAGGGCAGTGGTGGTCTTCGGCAGGCGACCCATTGCGATGTATCAGGCCCCACCAACGAGTGGTGTGGCTCATCTTAGAAATGACTCCGTAACATTAATATCGGTCCAAATTCAGAGTGAATTAAATGAACAAATTTTGAACAATATTTAAGGCCCTAATGGAGATTTATCTTTCATTTCAATTAGTTTTAGGAGTTTGATAGATAATATTTCGAAACAATAATAATATTTTGCGCTAGTTAACTAGTTTCATTTCGCGGGAATTTTTTTTTCTGAAGTGGCACATTTCTCGTATCTGGGGAGGTGTTATTGAACGATGCGTAGGAATCATTAAATGATATAGATTCTGACGCATGTTTTAAAGAGTCTACATATATAAGACAGAAGGTTTATTTGTAGGCCGGAGCAAATAATAAATACATCGAGGAACAAGATTATTTGACGCTATAAGCTAGGAAATACCTAAATCGTTATCTTTGAGATTTTTATATTGTATGATTGAGTTCATAAAAATAACTTATCTTTATCCATGGCGTCATGCACAGCATTTTCAGTATCAGCAGATAGTAGATAACAAAATCCTCGCCGATAAAATAAGATTACATAAGCCGCCACACCAAGACTGCAAATTTTTATCCATCACTCGGGGATCTCACATCAAGGTCGGTGCATGGAGATTTAACAGTTTCCTGGATCATAACTAATTTCAAACAAATCAATTATTCGTTTTTGGTGTGGGTAAGCCATAAGTTTGCATGGTATCGCTGCATGGTATCGCTGGTGAAAAAGCATAATATATAAAAAAGATAAATATTTATTTCAACAGAAGTAAGCAGCAGGAAGCACCTCTTTCGGGGTTCATTTTGTGAACTTATTTCAGAGACGGCGTTTTATACCAATTAGCAGAATGATATTGATGCACGATTCAAAATAATTCAGCAGTAATATCATAAACACTGTCTTTAATTTCAACCTACACAAAATCAAATCTAATATAAAACCATCGATAAACATACTTCTCTACTGATCCGTGCATCAGTCATTTCGCAAACGACCTCCAGTCATATTGCACGACTAAAACCTTATAAATAACTCATAAACCCAAACGGACAGTGTTAATCCTTGTGACTAGCAAATTCTGAGTTGAAAAGATGTAAAATGTGTGTGATGTTACAAAGCGGACATAAATCATCGGCCGGCCAAAGCCAGGTGAGAGACCGACCGATGAGAGACCGAGCGAAGCGTATTGGGTCCGGCCGACTGCTGGCCATCCATCGGCCACCCAAGAACCGCCCGTTATTTGCAACGAGCGTAGTGACAGAGATCCGGTAGAAGTGATTGCGTGATCAAGATTTATTGTTTTATAGAGTGATACCTCTAAAGTCACTCACGGTCTTCGTGGCGCGCTGAAGAAAATATATACTGCATTGTGTTTAATTCAATCATAGTTTCCGTAGGTTAATTTGCACCGATGTGGTTCTGATTTGCTCACGGGCGGAAGTCTTCTTGTTTGTAAGCATCTTAGAAAAATAATTGCCAATTTTTAAACATTCAAATAGTTTAAGACTCAATATGTTATGGCGCATTAGCTCCAAATCATTCCTTGCAGAGAAAATAATTTTAATACTGTATACTTTGTTTAAAACTTATTAACATTTGTGAGATTTTTTTTCGGTGCACTATCATCTGTAATGATTTTCTAACATGTTTAGTTATTAACGAAAAGTATACACTTTCTCTCTAAACAATAAAATTTACATTCATGACGCGTTTATGTTGGTTGCAACTCTGCATGAGCGCTTATGCCACTACTTAAGTAATTATGAACACTACACACATCGTTTCCGACATAAAAATGTTAATTACATAACGATGTTTCATAACATATTGCTATTCGCAGGTCTGACTGTGATCATAGTGAGTGAAGGTGAGTTCCCTGAACGCCTGCTGCTGCATCAGCTACTCGACGCTGGGGTACTTGGTGGCTGCCCAACATGTCGTGAGTAACCCGATATTGAAGCGAATGGGATACAGAAAGTTTACGCTATGAACGAAAACTTGGAGAAATGAACATGATATAATATAAAGGCGAGAGAAATAATGGCGTGAAGACAAGAAAGTTTAAAGAGAAAACCACAGAAAGTAATGTAAAATATGTACAGAGGTAGTTATTGGAGTATATATGAATTTGAAGCCAAAACTGGTCAGGAGATTCATAATGTTTAACATTTTAGACAGCGAATTTTACTGCTATTCGAAACACTAAAACCAAGATTCTCATTTTGTAAAACTGAGGATAAAAATCAGCCAGGAACATTTATGATGATTTATGAATAAATTTGATTATAATCTATAATATTGTCATAAATAATATATATTGAGATAGATTAATACATTCAGCAACACACTGTGTTACTGAATGTGCAACTCGTTAAATCAATATTCAGCATCACAGTGATTCACGTTGCGTGTGTATTTTGTGCTGAACAATAATTCTGCCAGTTAGAACTTTGCTAAATATGATAATTCAATGGATAATTGGATATGTTCGTGAGGAATGCATGAAAATTAGTTTTGGTTTAAAGCATTGAAACTGAATAGAGATATGTCCATTGCTATAATGCTCCATTTCTCTAAATCACGAAATCCAAAACCAATCCGCCGTATTACCTATCCTCTGCCGCATTGATTATATTTATTGTGCAGGCTCTTGGGATCTCCATGGTTACTCTTGCTGCAGTGGAAGCTTTCACTACCTGTTATTACGACTATTACCTTTATCAATATGACTGTTATCAATGTGAGTGTATCATTATTCAACCATGCAGCACCCAATTAATCCGAATCTCGGAATTTTTAATTCGATAGCTTGGATGACATCTAAAATTTAAAGCTATTTTTCGATTTCGAATCAGTTTAATCCAAATGTATAACTTACTCAAAGATAGCATGAGGTTAAGGCGGAATTGCAATGTACTTGTATATTAAATAGGATGTTTAGAGAATGATAAATGCTTAATTAGAATGATAAAATGAGTTTTAATCTGAACTTTATGATATTATTATTATTTATATTATTTTATTCTGAACTCAGATATTTTTTTCCACAAGCTTAAGCTGCGAAACAATTAATTCAATCTGTGTTTATTTTGCAAACTTTAGACCAGGAGTGGGCAAATTGGACCGTGGGTTCGGGGGGAGTTCTCTGCGTCTTAGTGGCCATACTCCTCACACTTGCCATCAGAAAAGTGAGATTTTATCCGAAAAAAGGCAGTGGTAGCTGAGTGAACGTTTTTAGAATACATATGATCTCGTTCTTACTAATAAATTTGGTTTAATGTGTCGATGTAGGGGATCGGCAAAAGTTCAAGAATAGGCAACAGGCCATGGGCCTAGTTCTTCAACGCCGACACTTTTATTCTATTCTATTAGCGAGTCTCCATTCACCCTGCTCCATATTCAGCGATACTCTAGCCCAGTCATGGCGCCACCGATTTGAAAGGAGCTACCCAGTGAAAATTTACAGACGCGTCAGCTTCTGATTTGGAGTACCAGAAGCTGGGGCGACTCTAAATTTTGTTAGGGTAGCCATGGGTTCGAGCCCTGGTAAGCTCTGATCATTTCTCGCTGTCTCCGATGGGAGGCTGTCATAGGGTGGTGCTATCAGCATGGCCTTGGGTTGGTGTCCCACCAACGAACTCTGGGTTCTAGTTGCTTGGGGGATTTTAAGGTCTTAAGATATTGATCTATTACCCGCTACAAAAAAATTTTCTGCGAGTAAGTGAATCATGCTATGTTTAAAAATATGTACCTCTAGATTTAATCTAAGAATGATCCTAAAATTGCACTGCACAAGGAATAAAAAATTTGTTTTTATCAAGTCAAGTTCGAGAGTATGAAGTCGAGCATACTGGATGAACTTTTTTTATTCACAATTTTGTCACAACAAAGATATGTTTCCCTTATATATAATAGTTATGATACATACAATATCGATCCTGCTCAGAACCGCGAACGATTTCCTCATTATCTGGAATGCTCAATAAATCCTTGTGCTGAAATGTACAGTACATATATAATTGTTAACGAATTTACTTGAATCTGTAGATGTTACTGCATATGGTATTTAAAGTTTCTAATGCTATAACGGCTACTGTATCTTGAGCGTTCGAATATACCGCGATTAAAAAGTTTTAATAACTTGTCACTTATAGTAAAATTTGCTAATATGACCAATCAACATTTATTTGTCATTACAGAAGGCGTACTGTTCCTTGATTCGAGCGTTCGTCGGCATCACGATACTGGTGGCGGTGGGCTACATTGTGACCGCATCCATTTTAGTCTCTGAGAATGCAGGCTGGTCTATTTTCCTCTATTGCATATCAGTTTGGCTCTTCATCATGACTGGGATTGTGGCCAAGTATGGACAGTTGATGGTGAGTTTATCATGATACCAAATGTACCAGACAACCTTGCCTTTGTGAGGAAATTCAAAATAATACTCCTTACTAACAAAATAACGTTACAAATAAAACATAATAATCTACGAATGGAGGTAAAAGATTTATATATTTACGTACAATGATTTAAACATGCAATGCACCAAACGATTAAAAAGTTAAACAAACTATATGTTTCAGTTTCCAGTTATGCTTCTCACACTAAAGCTTCAAAATTATCTTCAGATTGCCGTTCCAAGAGCGGCTGACCCCGCCTTCGCTGTAATGACAAACTCAGCGCCGACTTCTCAGATCCACGTTCATCCACAACAACAAACAAACATCATCAACCAGACCCACAACCACCTGCTCAACCTGGCGGCTACAACAACCAAGCTGCCTTCCCGCCTGGTTCTGGTGGTGCATATCCTCCACCCAGCACTATTGCATATCCTCCACCCAGCACTATTTCATATCCTCCGACCAGTCCAAGTGCATATCCTACAACTAATCAGAACGCATATCCTCAACCCAACCTCACTGGATATCCTTATCCAAATGCTAATATGTATCCCCATCCAAACTTTGGTGGATATCCCCCTCAAAACCCTGCTGTATATCCCCAAAACGCTATCCCGTATCCTGCTGCCCCATATCCAAGTGGCTATCCTGCCACCAGTTCCAGCCCGTACCCACCAGCGGGGCTAAGCCCTGCCGCTCCTGCCCTGCAGTCCTACAACGGTGCCTGGGGCCCGCCAGCCAGCGCTCCTGCCATGTGAAGGACACCTTCATCCTGAGACCATGAAACGGAGCTATTTACTTCCGTTGTAATTGTTATGAATTTAATACAGTTACTGTAGGAAATGGCAGGCTGGCTCCAATCGTAATTGTTCATAAGCGCTGCAATGTCTATGATAGATTATAAAAGCAATGTTTGCATTTAATTTGCGTTTTCTTTATTTGCTAAAATATATCTTCTTATGTTTGCATGATTCATTGTCGTAATTCTTTTTTGCTGTTTACAGCCACATTGATTAGTGAAAGTTGAAATTTGTTATGGCATTAGTATTAATTATTTATTCAAAACAGTTATTGGACAAGACTGTCTTTAATATTTGACAATGTAATAAAATTGTAAATATAGCACTAATACTTTTTAAAAAAGAAAATAATGTGCCAGTAGTTAAATGAAGAATATCGACCAATGCAGAACATAATTTTATTACAATAACGATAAACAAATTCTACTTTTTATGGTTTCTTTGCCCTTGTTGAGAACAATATTATTTGAATCATTCGGAACTCGAACTTTATTTCATTCCAGCCATTATTTGAACGCTTTGATTCTACGCTTGATGGTGACAAAGACAACATCCTGCATAATATTGTAAGAAACCGTTAAATCAAGCGATGCAAAGTTTACTGATTAAGAACCTCGTCCTTCAAGATCTAATGTTCTTGAATTCCAGGAATCACATTGCATTATCCATTCGTTACCATTATGTAACGAATAATTTAAATTAGATAATTAAATTAATAATTTTTTAAATTTAATTGATTAATTATTTAATTTTTAAATGAATGAGATAACATAAGCTACATATATACCTCCCGTGCAGCCCGGTAGCATTTAACGTTCTCTCCACCACTCGTATAGAGTTTGCGCATTCTGGTCGGTGAATAATGTTGAATAAGTTCCATGAATTTGATGAATGTAAAACCCTTGAGGGGTTTGGTTTCGGGTAAGAGTGCCATTTGTTTTTCTGTCAGCCTGACCTGATAATGGAGAAGATTGAAATCCGTGATGTTAGTATAAATGTACCATGGAAAGAGTTGCCGCTCTGCAGGATTTCAGTTTGAATACTGAATTCAAAGCAGCGTGAACTATCGATGTGTTGCACAAATTACATAACCTGAACGAAAGTTTGTGTAAGCACATAACTATACTATTCTAACACAATTCACAAGTAAATAACTAGTATAGTTTGATCTTTAGTTATATGACGGTTGCATTCGCTCAAAATTCAATTTATCTGACATGCACCATCTTCACAGCTATAGGGATGAGCATTGTAAATATGAACTGTAGCGCTAGGAGCACTTTTATCGTTAAGAACGTAATGTTGCGGGGAACATGTGTCAATTACAATTATTATTGATAACGTATCATACTTTTTATGTTTAATTTATACCTATGTGAAGAAGTGCGAATAGACTGTAGGTAATTTTGACTATGTTTGAAATAATACATAAGACACTATTATCGAAATTATTAATTTAGGGCGGCTGAGAGTCTTTGAGCAATTAAAACGGCCATGACCACAAGATATATAAAGACATTATATGCCGGGAGAAAGTAAGTTCGTGGGTACGCCGAGTCATGGAAATACTGTATTCTGGACGAAATGGACCTGTCTTGTTATGGAAAATGTTGCTGCCGAGTGGGGCTTGAAAATATCTGGACGGTCTAGTACATTTGGAGAATTTCAGTCCTATGAGTATATCAAAAGACTTTTATAGTATGTAATTGAAGGGCTAATTAATAAATTGCTTAAGTGATGAATTTCGTTGAAAGTTAGGGTGCAGGTGTTACGAAGGTAAGGATTGTGGGTTGAAGCGATACAATGTGTGTGAAAAAATTTTTCGAGACCGTGAGAGCGAGTTTGTACTATCGAGCGTTGGCGAGTCTATCGCGAAGGGAATTTCACGAGTCGAGGTTTTCGGCGTCTACTGCGAAAGATTGTGATGAGTGTGAGTGGAGGCTACGGATAAAAGAAGCAGAAGTTCATGCCAGTTCACCAACACCCGTAACGGTCTTAGGAGCTACCCGTCACTCGGAACGGACGTCGTGACGCCCGCGTCCATTGCAGGTCGGCGGCTTCGCCCGTTTTCGAGCATTGACGTCGCGAGAAACTTAGACTTATCGATACTGCTAGGATTCCTGTAAGAGCCTCTATAATCTACAAGTAGCGAAGAATAATTTGCTACGGAAAAAACGACGTAACGGCCCGTCGCGCCCGCCGTGACTACATTGCTAGACAACCCGAGAAGCAAGCGAACGGGCAGCAATTATACAGCCAACTATCAACGCAAGTAACGTCGACAGTACAGGCGGACACAGCAGCAGACGTTCAGGCTTGAGCTGGCACGAATGTCACTAAAGTGGAAGCCATCACAGCTATAGCGAAGCACGACCGCTAACTATTCGACGGCCATGCTAAACTTGAGACAACTTTTTAGGACTCAAGACTACAGCTACAGAACCGTAAACGTGGTACGGCTACTTAGAACAAACTATCGTCATTACGGCAGAGAACCTTCTTGATCGATGCGGTCATAGCATAGCAAATGTTTAAAATGTTTTTACACGAACTCGGATTCCGTTTTGAACAAAAAAAGTGAACTGTTAACTGTGATCGCAAACGAGAGTATAGACATTATTTGTATTACAGAAACACTTCCTAAAAATCACGGGGGGAAAATTGTACCTGTTGAATTTCAGCTGCCAGGTTTTGATTGTTTTCATAACTTAAATGAAGAGCAGTGCAGTAGAGGTGTAGCTCTGTGGGTTAGAACCTCTTATGGGGCCCAGCAAGTTAAGTTATCTGCAGAGCATCAATCAGCTAGAGA